AATTGCTTTATTGTTTCAGAGTAAAGACGCTTAAGATTTCTGCGTTGAATACCACCTATTTTGTCGGAGTATTGACCATTTGAGAGTTAAATCGTTCAATTTTTCGATTGTTAGATGATAGACGTAGATCCTTAGACTGGAAATAAAAATAAAATATTATAAATAAATATTCTTATTTATCGTACGAATATCACACACTCTGGACCTCTGAATGACTAAAGATTTTCATTTTATATCTAGCATCGACAGCTTATATACCTTTTTTTGGCAGCAGTAACATCTATATATATAATTATCTTCTTGGATACCCTAGAAAACACTCTAGGCCCTTGGTGAGCTGTGGTTCACGCTAAATGTTTACAATCGTAGAGCCGGGAACCAAAAGAGTCCGCCGCCAGATCTTTCTTTTGACTTTAAGCGGTGGCCTTAACGGGGCTTCGGAATAATGCCACTGGTCCGACCAAACTCATGTCCCCCCTAATGGGTGCGGAATGGCCAGTGGCAGATAACAGCAGCTAGAGGGTTTTGATCTGGCGGAATGCCCCCAACGATCAAGCTGGGTACCAGGCGGTAGGACGACGTCCCGCGTCTGGTGGGTGGGGAAGGAAAGCCCGGTGAGAGCCCACGGAAGTAGCGACCGAGGTGTGGGAAACTCTCTCGGGGATTGCCACACTGAGGCCTGCCTGGCTAATGGAAGTAAACCTTCTGGGCCGGTTTCCGTATTAGGAAGGAAGGAAGGAAGTGACGGCTATTAGGGGCAGATAATTTAGTTTGAAACGATTTTAAACTTAGGGGAGGTAACTACGAGGAGGCTGCTTTCACGGGGGAGGGAGGGATTGGGGGGATGGAGGGTGGGGGTGGGGGGTTATCATCCTTAACGAGCTACTGATAGTGTTTTAAAGCAAATATTTTAAGTGGCAGCATTGGTACTGTCGAATTACTGAATTATGAGTTACTGAAAAGTAGAAAATAAAACAACTAAAATAGCGGCATATGATACGCCGCGGGTCGGCTCGTGGTAAATATTTCTTTCAATCCACGAGTACAATGAAAAATAGAATCACAGGATACATTAGCAATGCAAAATTTAATTAGGTAGCGACTAGTTTTATTTCTAACAAAGTTCTCAGCAATATCGATTGCAATGGTCAATAATATAACCATTTGTTATCGACTTTACAAAATGATAATCAGTATTTTTTTACATGGACGCAAGTTCGGCAAGAAAAACAAAAACAAACTTGATCCATAATAGATGTCTCGTGAGACAAACCACTCGCATCGAGTTTCTGCTCTAGGCTAACACAATGTGAGATCCATTGACAGCAAGACCGCTGGATAGGCGTGATGTAGTTCATTAAAGAAAACAATGAGAAATAATAACATGAAATATTTACAAAGTAACCAACATATCGTAGCTGCTGCACTTTCTACTGTAGCAAGTAGACTCGTAGTCTAGATGTTCCCCATCGTCAGTAGACGTGACAATATCTTCACTAGATGAAGCATGTCGTCAGTAGACGAGACAATATCTTCACTAGATGAAGCATGTCTTCAGTAGACGTGACAATGTCTTCACTAGATGAAGCATGTCGTCAGTAGACGTGACAATATCTTCACTAGATGAAGCATGTCGTCAGTAGACGAGACAATGTCTTCACTAGATGAAGCATGTCGTCAGTAGACGTGACAATATCTTCATTAGATGAAGCATGTCGTCAGTAGACGTGACAATGTCTTCACTAGATGAAGCATGTCGTCAGTAGACGTGACAATATCTTCACTAGATGAAGCATGTCGTCAGTAGACGTGACAATATCTTCACTAGATGAAGCATGTCGTCAGTAGACGTGACAATATCTTCATTAGATGAAGCATGTCGTCAGTAGACGTGACAATGTCTTCACTAGATGAAACATGTCGTCAGTAGACGTGACAATATCTTCATTAGATGAAGCATGTCGTCAGTAGACGTGACAATGTCTTCACTAGATGAAGCATGTCGTCAGTAGACGTGACAATGTCTTCACTAGATGAAACATGTCTTCAGTAGACCACACAATGTCTTCACTAGATGAAGCATGTCTTCAGTAGACGAAATGTCTTCACTAGATGAAGCATGTCGTCAGTAGACGTGACAATGTCTTCACTAGATGAAGCATGTCTTCAGTAGACGTGACAATATCTTCACTAGATGAAGCATGTCGTCAGTAGACGTGACAATATCTTCACTAGATGAAGCATGTCGTCAGTAGACGTGACAATATCTTCACTAGATGAAGCATGTCGTCAGTAGACGTGACAATATCTTCACTAGATGAAGCATGTCGTCAGTAGACGTGACAATATCTTCACTAGATGAAGCATGTCGTCAGTAGACGTGACGATGTCTTCACTAGATGAAGCATGTCGTCAGTAGACGTGACAATATCTTCACTAGATGAAGCATGTCGTCAGTAGACGTGACAATATCTTCACTAGATGAAGCATGTCGTCAGTAGACGTGACAATATCTTCACTAGATGAAGCATGTCGTCAGTAGACGTGACAATATCTTCACTAGATGAAGCATGTCTTCAGTAGACGTGACAATGTCTTTACTAGATGAAGCATGTCGTCAGTAGACGTTACAATATCTTCACTAGATGAAGCATGTCGTCAGTAGACGAAATGTCTTCACTAGATGAAACATGTCTTCAGTAGACGAAATGTCTTCACTAGATGAAGCATGTCGTCAGTAGACGTGACAATATCTTCACTAGATGAAGCATGTCGTCAGTAGACGTGACAATATCTTCACTAGATGAAGCATGTCGTCAGTAGACGTGACAATATCTTCACTAGATGAAGCATGTCGTCAGTAGACGTGACAATGTCTTCACTAGATGAAGCATGTCGTCAGTAGACGAAATATCTTCACTAGATGAAGCATGTCGTCAGTAGACGTGATAATGTCTTCACTAGATGAAGCATGTCGTCAGTAGACGAAATGTCTTCACTAGATGAAGCATGTCTTCAGTAGACGTGACAATGTCTTCACTAGATGAAGCATGTCGTCAGTAGACGAAATATCTTCACTAGATGAAGCATGTCGTCAGTAGACGTGATAATGTCTTCACTAGATGAAGCATGTCGTCAGTAGACGAAATGTCTTCACTAGATGAAGCATGTCTTCAGTAGACGAGACAATATCTTCACTAGATGAAGCATGTCGTCAGTAGACGAGACAATGTCTTCACTAGATGAAGCATGTCGTCAGTAGACGAGACAATGTCTTCACTAGATGAAGCATGTCGTCAGTAGACGTGATAATGTCTTCACTAGATGAAGCATGTCGTCAGTAGACGTGATAATGTCTTCACTAGATGAAGCATGTCGTCAGTAGACGTGACAATATCTTCACTAGATGAAGCATGTCTTCAGTAGACGTGACAATATCTTCACTAGATGAAGCATGTCGTCAGTAGACTTTGCAGTTGATGTCTCAAATAGTTCAAATATTTATCTTTATTATCACATATTGTACGCGATACGTTGTGTAGGCAGTTGTATACGATACCGCGTGTACTCTATTGTACTTCGATACCTCGTGTACTCCGATACCCCGTGTACTCAATTGTATACGATACTCAGTGTACTCCGATACCCCGTGTACTCTATTGTATACGATACTCCGTGTACTCCGATACCCCGTGTACTCTATTGTATACGATACTCCGTGTAATCCGATACTCCGTGTACTCCGATACCCCGTGTACTCTATTGAACACGGTACCTGGTATACTCTATTATATACGAGGTAATATTTTCAATGCGTTACACTTTCTTATGCAGTCAAGAAAATGGCGGATGGCGGTTAGACGATTACATGATCCATCGTTTGATGACGTTGATCACCAAAATGAAAGACGCAGGAAAAAATAAATAAAAAGATGTCCATTAAATATGCAGACCAACGTATCGAGTCACAAGTAGTGACCGTCTATGCTTGACGGTTACCCTGCATCACTACGCGCTTAATGAACCATTTTAAAACAAGGACTTTGAGACTTTGTAATTCGATGCTCTCAATGTTTGGATTCGTGTTTACACTTTCTATGTTAATAGAGAGAAAAATCTTGAACTGTATTGTATAAGTGCATATCCTTTGTTAATTGTTTAAAGAAAATACTCTCATTCAATGAAATTAACACATACGTTCGTTTTTCAAATTAATTTTATCAAAAGCTTGTATTAATTATGATAATTTCATTGTTTTTTTTTAAAAACAAAAGAACAATGCAACAGAAAAATAATGTACTATTTATTTTTTCATAGGCCTAACTATACACATTGTAATGATACGCGTGTTATTATAACATGAAATATGGCTCACTGTACATGTTTATTTATATAACGTATGAATAAAACTTGGTTTAAACGACTGAAAACTTTTTTAAAGTTGTCAGTGTCCGCCTAAGCCTTTCTAAAATTAGATTTTTATCCATGAAGAATCCAACGGTAAATCCACAACATGGATTACTGAAAACTCTAAGACTAAGCAGCTACAAAAATAATTTGTTTAGACATAATATTACAATAGTTTTTACTAATTCATTATGTCATGAAGTGAACATACACGCTTGGAACTGTAAATATTAAGAAACAGTGGTTTGAGTAAAAAAAACGTCTTAGACCAAAACACTGTTGTTTCCGTAACAACTAATCATAACAAAATATAGATAGAAAATATAAACAACAAAATAATCAGGGCCCACGGATGAATTAACATTAGTGAATGCAATTTAATAAAACTAAAAATCTCACTTCACATGTACACCTAACATGCATAGAGACAGTAAAAACACTAAATAATAAAGAAATGAAATACAACACAAAGTCAAGGCGAATTTCCTTCAAATTCGAGAACACATTTTTTTCCCAACTCAGAGATCTGCTAATTCTTTCTTAGTATACACTTATTTTTATCCTTCCTTACCCCAATCCTCCATTTTATTTCATTATTTGGCTCTGACTTTCATCTCACAACTGTCGAGACTCCCATAATCGCCAGTTAGTGCCAGCCAGTTTAAACCCACACCGTACTCTGTACTCCCGTACAGGCCATTGAGGTTCGAGTTCTGGCAATCAGCGTACCACCATGCGCCGTGGTAGACAACAGCACAATTCCTGCTGCCGCTGTCGTTATCCTGGTCGTAGGTGCTGAACTTTTGGTTGTTGTTTTTGTCGTTGATTGAGTTACCGGCATTTCCAGAGTACCCATCAAAATACAACTTGTAAAATTCACTTTCAGGATAAAATTTAAATCCTGAATACGCAGCGTAGTAACTTGTTCCATTGTATGTCATGTCGATCCTGAATTCATAAGACCTGTTTGCTGTCAGACAGTAAATGTTTTCGTTGCCGAGGTAAAATTCTCCAGCGTCGAAGTCACCGAACCCGTGTTTGTATTCCTCCCAGTTGCGGTAAAAGTCCACGACACCGGAGACACGACGTTGGAAAATTGTCCAGCCCCCTCCATCTGTCACTGTGTCACACATGACGACAAGACCAGACGACAGTTGTAAAAGTTGTCTGGGGTTGGTGGAGTTCTTCACGTCGGCACAAGATTTATAAACAGCTGGGTTGTACAGAACTCTGGTCTGTGTTTTTGGAATTTTTCCTTGTGCTGAAATATAATTACATTAATTAACATTACCAGAATTATGTCTATCCATTTTGACATCAATGAACGAAATATAAAAAAAAAATTAAGCTGTTGAAATATAAAATGCCAATGAAGCTTTGTGCAGCAATAGTTTTATCGTTAACTGATAACTTGAGTTGTCTGGGGTTGGTGGAGTTCTTCACGTCAGAACATGTTATGTAAGTAAGTGGGTTGTTCACAACTCTTGACGCTGCCTTGAGTAAAGCTTGTTGAGCTAGATTTTAAATGTAATATACATGTAATACTAAATTGCTTCTACAAAAAATAAATTGTTAAATAGTCTTCATTTAAGTTAAAGTAGTATTTAACTTTCTTGTAGAAGTTAAAAAAAAAGAATATTTAAAACAGATTATTGGCTTATAGTTCTAACCTAAAACAAATAATGATTTATCATCTGAACTAACCAAGGCAAGCAGCCGTTTGACAAGACTCCATCCTTCCCTTACCGACAGTAGTGACAGTGTTTTTTACTTCACAGTACTTTCCCCTTGTGAAAAGTTTAGAATTGGTTGAAGGTAGAGTAATTGGTGTGTTGACAGCGACCTTTGATATAATCCAGTGGCCTAATGTCATGATTTACAAGATTTTGATAAAAAATTACAAAAATTTAGAAAATTATAATGATTAAAACACAAAAGTGTGTATGTATATTATAAGGGATAAACTTACCTAATGTGCACGTTTTATTATTGTCATCATACATGAAATTATAGCAATCACTTTGGCTCATTGCACATTTCATGGCACAATGTAAATCTCCTTCTGCACTGTGCTGTTCATCCAGAGGTAACATGATCACGTCACTTTTGTTTCTATACACAAATTCGAAGTCTGTAACCACGCATATGGTAGGGCGAACTGTACCAGAAGGACAAATGCAAATTTTATGGTTTTATGGTACAGTTAGAGTACAAAATCATAGCTCACCATGTTTTAAATTAAAATGATCAAACCGGCTCGTCTTATATTTTATCTGAACTTTGTTAAAGAACTTTCCAATCCAAAGACGTCTTGTTGCTTATTTACTGTTTTTTTTTCAATTTAACGATGTAATCAAGATTTACGTATTGTGCTAATTCTGAAACAAAACTAAAGGGATTTCAACTACCTAGCCTTACTGTTGGTTGTAGGCAAATTATAACTTTATTGCACATCACTTCCGGTATACTGACCATAAGACACGGAAATAATAAAACGCAAAATAGTATACAAACCCGTTATGACTTTGGGCTATAATAATTTATTAGAATAGTAAATACTTCTTTTTAAGAACTATGATCACCCACCTAAATCACTTTATTAGTCGAGAAATAAAAATACTTTCAATATTAAATGGAATTTTTTGCTACCCGTAGAGCTACCAATGTACTTGCCATACATATTTCAAGTAGAAATTTCACATTATACTAAGTTTAAAATAGATTGAATGCGAGCACTTCATAACAATATATTATATTTAGGTAGAATTCTTTCCACTTATAACATAAAGTAATTCGAAATCTCAGTTTAAAAAGATTCAGAAAAAAGTTTCACTCAACTACTGGTTTATAAAAAAAACTTACGTTAGTTAACAAGCAATCACATGCAACAAAAGGAATGTTTGAATATATATATATATATATATATATATATATATATATATATATATATATATATATATATATATATATATATATATATACCTATAAGGATACCTGATATAACCAATGCGACTAATAGGTTCATATTCATTTTAGAATTAGTTTGATGCAATGGTCGACAAACAGAAAAGTAATTCAACACAATTGTCTGTTTGAATTTGCACAAGTTGTCCGTAGAACTTTATGCTTAAACTGACTGCAGATCTTTAAACAATAATGTTCAGTAGATCATGATTTTCAGATGTGAAAATCTTTGAACCGAAAGCTCGGCCTTTCCAGTCAATTGACAATATTGTTTATACAATACCATAATTTATCAAGCTAAATCACTATTAAATATGTACATATTTGATGGATCGTTGTAGTCGACATTTATCTTTACATCTGGCAATACTCCACGTATTTCAGTCCCAGCAACTTGCAATGAACTGTTTAAATTTTTTCTCTGAATTCTATTACTAGCTGTGTGTCAAGTGGTTATTGGTGAGTAAACTGTAGCAAGATTAAGATTGCTATTCTTTGCTAAAATTATATATATATATATATATATATATATATATATGTATATATATATATATATATATATATATATATATATATATATATATATATATATATATAAACCAATGCGAAAGGTTCATATTCATTTTTCTATTGGATGCAATAGTCGGCAAACATGATTTTTAGATGTGAAAATCTTTTACTGAATGCCCGGCCTCCGTAGTCAAATGACAATATATATATATATAATTCTCTTCTGGGAGACGCTAGAAAACACCAAGCTGTAAGCGCGCTCCTTACCGCCCCCACCCCCACATAACAAGTGTTGCTTGATCTTTTCATTGTCGTCTGTAAACTGTCGTCACGGACGGCTGCTTTCACAGAGTTCACTGGGGGGGGGGGGGGGGGGGGCCGAACTGGGGGGGGGGGGGGGGGCGAGCTGGGGGGTGGGAGGCGGGGAAGGGGGTGATTATTGTATTTAAAACAAAATATTTTCCGTCGCAGCATTGAATTCACAAATTATGAATTACTAAAAAGTAGAAAATAAAACAACTAAATAGCGGCGTATGCTTACGACGCGGGTCGGCTCGTTAGTTATACAATACCACAAACTTTATGAATCTAAAACATTATTAAATATGTGCATATTTGATGGATCGTTGTAGTTATCTTTACATCTGGCAATACTCCCCGTATTTTAGTCCCAGCAGACTAACTTGCCTTGAACTGTCACAAACCGATGAATAATGCAGTGGATTCCCCTTTGATAGGAAGCTAATGTTTTTACTTTTTTCTTTCTTGTATACAGAGTATAGAGAAAGTATTATAATCGTGCGCAAAAAGCACTTGAAATCTTGACAGTTTTTGACCGTTTTACATTTCAGTCCTTCATCACACCCGATGTATAGAGGACTTATTTTAATCGAGCAAAATTATAAATCCAGATTTATCAAAATTTTGGTCTTAAAACTGGACTTTGTAATTCTGTCCATGTGTCTGTGTGTGTATGTGTGTAAGAAAACACGATAACTTTAATACCGTTAAAGCTAGATTGATGAATTTCAAATGTGTAGTTCTGTGTCAACGTTTCAGCGATTTCCGATAACTGGAAGTGGAACTTATTCTACTTTCATTTTTTTCAAAAGCCTATACCTTGAGTACTGTTTCAAATAGATAAATAGATTTGACATATAAGTAAAAGATCTAATTCTCTGCCTTCTGTCAAATCTTGAGTAATTTTCGTTGACAGTAAGAAGTAGTAATTTACGCTATTTCTGATTTCTAAAAACAACGCAAATGAATTTATAAAGTACTAATAATATTCCACACTATTATACACAGATTATTTTTCGTTCACTTGGTGTGCAATTCTTTTTCTACGAGATTCTATTCTATTTTTAAAAGTTTAAGTAATTAAAAATGGATTAAAAATCTTGTCTATATCCCGAGTTGCCATCCCCTGTTTTTTTTTATATAAGAATATTCGAAAAAGTTTACGGGAGATCACTCCCGGTTTATTTTTCTGAAAGCAGGAATTTAACCCAAACCTAAATGGAGCAACATCCGTACAAACCCCTCAAACGCCTTCCCATTTTAATCATCCAGTTTCAAGAAACGTGTTTATTTTCTCCATGACATCTTCACAAAATATCAACACTTCATTGCTATCATCTGAATGAATATATTTCCAAAAGACAAGCAACTACGAACAAGAACTCACGTCTGTTGATTCATCAACTTGAAAAGCAATTAATGGTGATATCTTGATTTCATTCAAAATTTGTTTTTAACATCTACAGACATGTCTGCTATAAGTTGCTAAATAGAATTTTTAGACAGATAATTGTTGCATCTTTACTGCACATCCCCAAGAATTAATTTCACCATGTTCAACACGCAGGGTTTGATAAGATTTTCTCCTATTGTGTGAGGTTTTTTGCTTGGTAATGTCTAATCCGACTTCACAATATGATGCTTGCACTAATGCTGTGTTTCTCGGTGAAAACTACCTGTTCGATCAAATCTCTGACGTTTGCAACTAGCTTCATGCCGACGAAAGAACTTAATATCCGTTTTTGGTGTGTTTCGAATGACACGTCTCAAAATGATGTTTTAGATTTGAATGTTTCATAGACTCATGACTGAGAACTACTTTGCACAGTAGGCATTGCAGCTTGTCTATCCCGTTCCCAGTGATGTTAGTGAAGCAGAATTTCAGAAATTCTTCTAAATATTTTTGTTTCTTTTATCACTGCTAGAATTTAGTCTACAAGTTGGTAACCCCCCCCCTTCCCAGCAAGCCCTTTGCGAATCCCGCGACTTCCAATTTGGGAACCCATGCTCTAGAGGGTTCTAGTCAAAAACAAAAACAAACAATGCAAACACAGAGAGAGAAGTGTGCACATAGGCTTTTATATATTAGGATTCCTTTTAAACCATTTACTTTAAAATTAGTAAATTTTAGCGAAAATATGAGCTTGCTTGTTTTGTTACAAGGGTCAGCGTGGGCTAGTCGGCAAAGCTCATGTTAAATTCGAAAAAGTCTCGAGTTCAAGACACAAACAAATTAAGAACTGCAGCTTTCATATAGTTAAACCTCTAGACCTACTAAACTTGGTGCAGCATCTGACCACAGTAAGACTACTACTGTTTTCATAGTTTGTTTAACCTAATTGATAATCCGAAACTGCAAAAGTGGACCGAAACAACTTGCACATTCTACGAATTCTAAAATCAGATTTACTTCATTTTATTCCTTTCCGTTCTCTAGGAAGCGTTGGCCCGGGCAACACATCGTCAACTAACTTGTTTTTTTAAAAGCTCAAGTCCTAACAATCGATCTTCCCCAGTTTTCTTTCGAACGATTACTTTTATAACGCTTTTCTTTATAGTTATTTAAATAGTTGATTAATTTAAAGAAAATCATGTATTTTCTTCTTTAGTGAATTATTTACAAGTTTGTTATTAAAATGGGTTTTTGTGCAATTTTTTAATTTGCACATTTTAATATTGAAGTGAAAGTACTTTTTACTTTCGCGTTTACAGAGTATATAGAAAGTATTGTAATCGTGCGAAAAATCGTTTTACACCTCCCTGAGTTGAAATAATTACTTTTTCAATTTCGTCCGTATGTCTGTGTGTATGTCTGTGAACATGATAATTTGAGCACCGTTACAGCTACGTTGACGAAGTTTCATATATATGTATTATATCAAATTTGTAGTTCTGTATTGATTATACATCGATTTCAGGTAAACGGAGTGGAACTTATTATACTTTCGGATTTTCAAAAGCATATAACTTGAGTAGTTTTAGTTAGATAGAAGAAATTTTACATATTGTAGAAGATCTAATTATCTGTTTTTTTTGACAACTTTGAGCAATTTTCGGACACCGGAAGTAGTACTTTACCCTACTTCTGATTTCTCAAAAACACAAAAAAACCTCATATAATTTTGTTTAACTTGGTTCCTCTGTCTTTGTCGGTCATAGTCGGAAACTTGTGAGCGAAAAATCTGACACTTCTACCGGACCGAATTATTTTAAACATTTTTCACGTAGTTGAAGACTCAAAGACAATGTATTGCGACAAAAAATGCTACTTAATAGATGATTAATTAACTTTTTGAAAATTAATCAAGTTTTTTAAAAT